CATAAGTGGAAAAATTAAAAAAAAAAACGTGTAAGAGAGAAGATTGTATAAATGTGTAAGTGTGTCTGGGGTGAGGTGGATGGGATGTAGGGAGCTAAGAAAAGTGTAGAAGGAAAAGGATATCATCTTGAGAAGGGACAAAAAGAAGCAAGAACTTCGAATTACTCTTGAGGACTCTTAGAACTGTGTTAAGAAATAAGTCAAGTAAGTTTCAAAGCAGGGAGTTAGATTATTTTATAAAACAATTACTGAGAAACTAGAGGAAGAATGTCAAGATGAAAAACTCATACCTTAACTCAGGGATGGATCTAGACTTTTTAGGGCTTAGGGCTTATTGAAGTCTAATGGGGCCCCTTTTTTTAAGATTGAGAATCTTTAAATAAGTGTTTAAAAACTCATTTTTAATAACATCAAAATCAGAGTTGAAATATAAAATAAAATAAAAGACAAAACTGTCCAAAAAGGATCACCATTTATTACTTGTGTTCCAAGACTAAAACATTTTCGGCGACTGACCTTCCTTTTTAGGCTACTTGTCGCCGTAAAGTTCACAAAAAGTCCTTTTAAAAACACAAAACATCCAATTAAAATTTTATAAAATTTCTGAAAAAGGAACTGGTGACATGCAGTTGTCTTGCTTCCATCATACCTTCTTTTGGGGTTTNNNAAACCCCAAAAGAAGGTATGATGGAAGCAAGACAACTGCATGTCACCAGTTCCTTTTTCAGAAATTTTATAAAATTTTAATTGGATGTTTTGTGTTTTTAAAAGGACTTTTTGTGAACTTTACGGCGACAAGTAGCCTAAAAAGGAAGGTCAGTCGCCGAAAATGTTTTAGTCTTGGAACACAAGTAATAAATGGTGATCCTTTTTGGACAGTTTTGTCTTTTATTTTATTAAAAATAATTCTCCATCGGACGAACTTTTACAGAAGAGTTGAAATATATTTATTTATGAAATGGTGTTGAATGACAAACTTTATATCTTATATAAAAAACAAGAAATAAAGAAATATTTACATTGATTAACTACCACCCAATTACATTATATTGATTACAATAAAACAAATAATACTATAAATTATTTGTTTTATTATTAATATTAACTATTTTTTACTATATGATAAGTACTTATTGTTAATGAAAAAGTATTAAAAATTTATGATTCAATTTTTGCGGGCCCGGGGCTTAAGCTCTATTAGTCCCTATGTAGATCTTCTCCAGCCTTAACTGTTGGATGACCATTGTCTATTCAACAACTGATGAAGACTGTTGTATATTGACGGACCAGAAAATGTTGTATACAAAATTGATGTTGTGATGATGGTGGTATGAAATGTTCCCGTTTACACGATCAAAAACACAATACACTTCCTGTCTAACAATAACAACACAATTACACTTTAATGTCTCTAATAAGTGAGTGACTCTCTGGCACTCCACAATCGAGCAACACTCCAGTACCCAACAATTAATTTGATAACTACAATACTGGTTCCTGACCAGCCACAAAGCTACCCACTTTGGTTAGCTCCCCGGTCAGTGCTGCGGTCAGCACTCCTCTCAGCACTGCCTCCACACACACTCTGACTCTACACACACCCAAAGGGAAGCACACAAATTTTCCCTCTCTCACCATTTCTCCCTCTCTAGGCGGGACAATCTCCCCCAAATTCTTGGGGATATTGTTACCTCACCCACCTGACATGTGTGACAAAGCTGTGGACTGTCCATCACCACTTCCTGACATCCACACACCTGACACATGTCTGACACATGTTACAACTGAACTTAACAAAGACTCATCAACTGAAATCAAAAACGGTTTTTTCATTAAATAATATTTGCAGAGTAATTTAAAGTTTTTTATCTTGTGGGCTATTTTGTCTTTTCAAAAAAAGTTTAGTAGTTTTAAATCTCTATACAGATAGCCAACCACTACTTGCAAAATATTTCCTCTTACTAATCTATTCTATCAACTCATTTTAAAATCTTTTCTGTTCTTTTAAGCCAATATTAATTTTATGGTAATTTTAAGAATAAATTAACTGTCATTGGGCCATTAAAATTGTTGCAATTATTATTTTCTGGTATATTTTTTATAATAATTTTTGTGAAATATATTTTCTCATAGTTATAATTAAATTCATTAGACTATCTACCTCATACAAAATTGTGTAATATATCACAGTGTGTATAATGTTGCAATTTCCATAGCATCAAAAAATGGCACTAAATTTACTTTTTATTTTTACTTTTTTACTTTTTGTTACATCAAGAAGTCTTCTTGCCATAATAAAAACATGATGGTATCTTATTATTGTTTACATATTTGGGCAGTTACAAAGAAAAGTATAGATAGACTCATTAACTTTTACTTGTGACAGAATATATTATTATTTATATGGGCATTGACCTGCTAATGTCTCCAAGCCAAGCTTTGTTTAAATGTTTTAAGCTTATCTTAAAAGGTTTTGGTTAAAATGTTATATAATGTTATAACCTTAAAATGTTACAGAACCTGAAGAAGGCCATTTAAAATGGCCAAAAACGTTTGTTCTCTTATGGATTAAGAAACTGCTAGAAAGAGTGAAAGGTTTTTGAAACTTACATAATAATCAATTATCAATTACATAATCTAATCAATAATTAATAGCATTTGATCATGATATCTCAACCAAAAAGATCGAAAGTCTTTTTGACAAAATATAACTATCTTTATTGTTTACACGGAAAAAGTCTGTTACACTAATAGATTCAGAAAGTTCTTTAGAGGGATCATTTAATTATGATATTTTATTAATACAAAGATTCATAAAAAGCAAAGGAATCAATAATCATGCTGAGGAAATATTGCATCTTCTCATAGAATTGATTTTATTTAGTTAATTTATTATTAATTCACTTTAATTTTATTGTAAATTTTAAATTAGTGATAATTGTGGACTGAGTAGTTCTGTAGAAAGTTAGTTTTATTTTTGATTTTTGGCCATTAAACAAACCTGACTTGTAGTTAAACATAAATAACCTGATGTTATATCATGTGTATATATTTATTGCCCATTACAGTATCACCCATTGTAATTCCTTTCCAAAAGTGAATGAATAACTCTTTCCCACTATTGATTGATAAGACCACTGAAATTATGGGTTTTACATTCCCAAATAATCTTTGTACTGAATCATTTGTGTTGTCTGTTTTGTACAGGAAATCTGGTGCTTCTCTTCTCTTATCTTTTTTTGTTTGGTCAGTGCTCAACTGTTCACAGTGCATTTCTTCAATAACTTATGTTTCTAGACCTCCAAAACAGTCTACTCCTTTTATTTTACTATTTCCTTGGTCTTATCGGCCCTAGTCAATATTCCATTGTTTTCTCTTATCCAATGCTTAAATTTGCTGTTTTTCCCCCCCTCTTAGAATTTCACTCCACTTATTATTATTTTTTCCTCTCTTTTCATCTTTCTTGCTGCTAGCTACTTAATGTTATCTTCCTGCACATCATTTAATCCCATCATTAACCCTTCAAATAATAAGCACATTAAACTTTAGTAAGGAAAAGATTTAGTAGCTAAAAATTATCAAATTAAATCTTATAAGTTTGTCTTTGTATTTATGTAAAATAAAATACTCATATATTGATGCAATTGTTTTTTATTTTATAAGGGTAAAAATGCTAAATTCAAACTTTATCTTGAAGACCATGAAGACATATTTGCAGTAACACCAACTCAAGGAATTAATGATGTTATCTTTATGATAAGAGTTAATAAATCTGAAGAATTAGATTATGAAAGAGAAGATTTACTAGAACCAAAACAGTTTAATTTTAAGGTAAAAAAAAATAGCTATCTCTTATAATCTAATTAATTTAATTATGTAAGAATATAAAATAGACTATATTTATGAACTTTCATTAAATTTTTGTCGCTGGACTGAAGGTTTTTTTAGTAGTGTATTCTTAAGTATTGTAACATCCAGTCTGTGATAGATTTTGTTGAATATAAAATATTAAAGTAAAATTTGTTATAATATATATAGAATAACAAACTTTAAAGTATATCAAGGCACTAAACACACCTTTCACACTTTTCCAGCAACTAAGTTTAATCAAAACAAATGCTTTCAACCTGATTGATAAGTTTCCATCAGGTTTTTAAGTAGATATTCTATTTTTGGAATAAAATATTTTTTGAAGAATATTGTATTGCTAAATGTTTTAAATTAACTAGCAAATTTAATCATAAAGCTACATTAATTACAACAAAAATAGAATAAAATAATTTGTAATGATTCTTATACTTTTTGATTTTAAACTTAGCAGAAAACAATACATACCTGTAATTGAGAGCAACATTAAATTCCGCATTATAGCATTAACACGTTAAAAGTATGATAACAAACTGCTAAGTTATTCCAGAATCATAGGCCACATCATTCTGTTTACTTATATATGTTTAGATCTCAAGATAGATTGGACTCATTTTGAAAAACATTTTAACCAAGATTAGTTTGTTGGCTTCTATAAGCAAAAAATTAAACTATTATTATATCTACAGATATTATAATATTCCAGAACTATTATTATGATATAAAAAATATTTTTAAAAAATTGGTTTGAAATTAAATTTGGAAATATGTGATTTATTAAATTAAAATTTTTCATAATACATTGTAAAAATATGAAAAGATAAGAATTTATAAAACTACTTATTTCAATTCATGCATAGGACTTAAGAACTATTTTACTTATATTAAAATAACTTTTCTATTGTATATTATAATTAAATTCTGTTTTAAAATAATAATTAATGTAGTATTTATTTATTTTTTTTATTATTTCAGATTATAGCAAAAGAGACTGGAACAGAAGAAGAATATTATTCAGTAGTGAATGTAACAGTAAATCTTGAAGATGTAAATGATAACTTTCCTCAGTTTTTATCTGCTGATGTTGCTTATGTTTATGAAAATGCTAGCCAAGGAGACTTTGTAGCTTCAATTATTGTAAATAAAATATTTCAAAGAATTATATTATTTATACCATTAAATATTAATCTTTTATACAACATTTTTTGCTAATTTAAACTTTTTTATAATTTTTTTAATTTCTATATCTGTTTTTATTAACTTAGTTTAAAGTTGAAAAATTTGTGTATCAATAAGTTTACAACTTATAATTTTTTTCCAAATACATAACTTAGAATTATTGTCAAAATTGTTCTCAAAAATCAATGTTAAAATAAAATAAAAATTTATGTTAAACAGTAAAAGTCAGAAAATGAAATATAATCAGTATCTTGTAATATTACAACAAATATAGATCATATAAAAATATTTAAAATTATTTTAAAATGAAGGATTAACTTTTATGGAAGTTCATAAATTTATTTGATAAAAAATTGCCAGGACAAAAATACTTAAGTAGACAATACATAAAAATGTGTCTTCTCAGTTTGTTCTTTCACACACTTACACACATGAGGAAAATAACAGTTCTACAGCAGAGTCAACATTTCATTTGAGGCTACTCATCCACCTCAATATGTAAAACGTTAAAAGATCCCTCTAGTGATGGCTCAATATTAAAAAATAAATATATTTGATAAAAAATTTCCAAGACAAAAATTTTTAAATTTAAAAATTGTGTGTGTGCGTGAAAAGACAAAGTGAGAAGACACGTTTTTATGTATTGTTTTAAGGATTTTCTTAAATTTTGTAAATTTATAAATTTAATTATTTATGCAATTAATGCATCTAAATTACATTTAATATTTTTACAATGTTAGCTTAAATAAATTTCATTATTATTATTATTAAAAATATGTTCAATTATTTTTATATTTCCTGTATATAGCAGTATGATTTAGAGTCAGGTAAAAGTCAAAATTGACTTTTAAATCTAGCATACAGTAAAAGATCATTTATTCAGTCACAATCCAAAATTGTAGAAAAAATTGTTAATGAAATATTATCAATTAAATCAAAATAAATATAAATTGTTTAAATTTAATTAATTTTAAGTTTAATTAGTTTTGAGTTTTAATGAATTTTATTTTTCTAAAAATCAAAACTTTTACTTTTAGGCTACTGATATTGATTCTAGTTATTATGGAACCAAAGGCATTCGATATAGGTTGATACCAAACTACATATCTGATAGGTAATAAATATATATATATAAATTATATGAATAAACATATAATATAAATATAGTAATTATGTGCAACAATATACAGTATACTGTATAAATTTTTTTATCATTTTATAAATTAGTATTATAATGAAATTTATTGAAAATTATTATAATTTACATGTTAAATTTTATACTAAACTTTAATTTAATTTTAATAAGTATAGATTTTTAATTTATGTAACTTAATCTTTAGTTTTCAGATTGATAGTATAACAGGCGATCTAAACGTTTCAAAGGATGATCATGGATTTGATTATGAAAAAATTCAAGATTATTATCTTACCATAGAGGCAAGAGATGAAAATGGCACAGGAAATGCAAATACAACTCAGTTGCACATTGTTATCCTTGATGTTAATGATAATGCACCTAAGTTTCGTTATGAGAATTATAGTGGACATTTAATGGAAAATTCAGAAAAATTTACGGATATACTCCAAGTACAGGTGAATAATATTTTATTAATAAAATTTATATTTATTATTAATTGTTTTCTATAAAAAAAGAAAATGACCTTTTTTTTATTAAAATTACAGGCAACGGATGCTGATGAACCTAATTCAACTAACAGTATAGTTAGATACCAAATTATTTACGATGCTTTTGAACAGTTTACAATTGATCCAGTAGAAGGTATTATTACTCCAAAGTCATCATTAGATTTTGAAGACGATGAGCCTCCTGTAAATGATAACTGTATAACTATTTGTACTAAAACATATTTCTTAAAAGTAATGGCTTATGATCTTGGAATTCCAAGACAATCATCTGAAGTTTCAGTTTATATTACTTTAATGGTAAGACAGATTTATCAATTAGTATCAGTAAGACAGGATATCAATCAGTAAATATATATATATATATATTTGTTGAGAATTCTATACAAGATGTGGATATAAAATAATAGGACTGATGCTATAACTTATTTATTATTTTTAAACTTACAATTTAGTTGTGTTCCCCTTGAATATATGATCTCCCTCATCCATACACCTATGAATTTGATCTTCCATTTATCATAACAGTGCTACAGGTCATTTTCTGTCAGGGTACACAGAAGCTCCATCATTTTTTTCTTAACCACAGAAATCTAGTCTAAACAGGTTCTCTTCAGTGCAGATGTCACATTAGGAAAGAGGTAAAAATCACACGAAGCTAGATCCTATGAATAAGACTGAGTGTGATGATTTCTTGGCCAAAAACTGCTGCTTCACTGACAGCACTATATGTGTTGGTGTGTTATCCTGAGGATGATGAAACCATTTCTTCTGACCCTTTTCCATAAAATTTCCAGCATATGTTTGTATTGTTGGTGGTTCACTGGAACTCAGTGCTTTAAAATTACACCCTTATTATCAAAGAACACTCTCAAATTGCAGAAAGTATTCTGTGCCATTCAAGCACGTGCAAGACATGCATGTGTTCCCATAAGCTTCATTTTGCAGGTGAAAAGATTCAGTGTTCTTTTTCTTTAATTTACTATAAATTTCAGGTTGATATGCTGCTCCTCTTTCAAGCTTGTCATTTTTCTGACATGCAAGAAAAACACATTGACTTCAGAGTTCCTCATAGCAAACTAACAGCACTACACAGTTGAGACTTGCTGTGCTAGTTCATACTTCTTTAAGATCGTTTATCCCTCTCCCCAGCTCGTGTGTGAGCATTCAATGTACAGAAGTGCAGTCCTATTTTTTTTTTCTAGCACCGCCATGTATATTGTATATAAACTAATAATATACAGAGTGAGCCACTTAACATTCTTATAAAATTGAACTGAGTTAGACAGGAAATTTTTACATGATAGAAATACATTATGTCTAGGAGCAACCTTGTCATGTCTTTGTGTACATCAATTGGAGGGATGCCATTTTGAATTCATTTTAAAAATTTTTAAATGGGAATGGTGGTTTTGTGACACATGTAATAACTTTTGAGAGAAATGCAATGGTGAAATGTTTTCCATTTAACTTTAATTTTTGAGAAGTTATGAAGAAATGAACCTAACTAAATTCTTCTTTTTCCAAGTATGATAAAACAATGTTGGGATACTTCTAATGAATGAGGAATGAATTCAGATCATCCTAATATTTAAGAAGTGTTCATCTGATGACTAGGTAACTTTTCTTTGAATCACCATTTACAATATCACATGTACAGTACTCTTCTACCATACTGTACAGTACATTAGGATGATCTGGATTCATTGCATACTCACTAGAGGCATCCAGCATTGTTTTATCACACCTGGAAAAGGAGGATTTGATTAGGTTCATTTCTTTATAACTTCTCACAGATTAAAGTTAAATAGAAAGCAACTGCATTATTGTATTTCTCTCAAAATTCTATCTTTGTTTCTTGTATCACATGATCCAACTCCCATTTAAAAATTTTGAGATGAATTCAAGATGGCAACTATCCAATTGACACACAAAGATAGTTACCCCTAGGCATAACTTGTTTCAATCATACCAAAATTTTTCCTGCTTAAATCAGTTTGATTTTATAAGGGTGTTTAAGCGATGTTTGATTCACTCTGTATAATGTATATAGTATACATATACAGAATGTCTCCTAAAATGCATTCCAGGCTAATAGCTAAGAAAGAACTGTCAGGTTTATGTAAATGATGCTTGTTTTCATACATTATTCAGCATGGGCTATTCATTGGTGTGTAAGTGAATTTCTCCCTACTATGAAGAAAGAGGGCTAAAATTATCTAAGCACCTATTAAAATAGAACTACAGTTCCAATTGTGAAATTGTAGAGCAGGTCAAAATGAATACATTCCACATTTTGTTCAATTAGAAAAAATTAAGAGGATGCATTGATCGTGTACTCCAAATTTGAAAAGTTTGTAAATTCAGCTTCCCTATAATGCTGAGCTGCTTTGTAGCTGTTTGTTTCTCAAGCTTTAAATAGTTTGTGATAAAGCTGCCATCAAAAAATACATTTTGGGTTGGTTAAAAATCTCATAGGATACAAATATAAGGCTATAATTTGGAACTCAATATTTATTATATCCAGGAGGGGTAAAACAAAAAAGAGAATAAAACAATTTTTCCAAATCACAAATGACAAACATACATCTAAACAAAAAATTACTTTATCACATTCTATATCAAATGAGCAATTACTTATTGTGACATTGTCACATTGCTGGGCTGAAATTTTTAATCAGCTTTTAATTTTAAAAAATTATGTGACTTCCAGTCTGAACCAGAAGTTTATATATCAGTGGCGTGCCATGATATTTGATGATAGGGAAGCTGTATTTCCATAAAAATTTTAAGCAAATACTTGAAATGATAAAAATAAACAGTTTATTTATTTTAATTCTAAAATAGATAATTGATACTAAACAAAGATATAAAAACTAGTTTTTATTATTTTTTATAAACTAACTCTATTCAGCAATTTTTTTCCCCACAAAGTCGTTAATTACTTTATCATAAAAATTGCTTGTCGTTGATTCCATCAAAGTATATAAAAACTCTTTTTCTATTAAAAATGATGCTAGTGATGACAATCTTTTCTCTGACAGAATGTTTCTTGCAATGTATCAATTCATTTCACGGTTGAATAATTGCACTCAACAGACACACTGATGGTACCATACAAATTAATGATATTAAATCATATAATTCTTTTAGTACATCTTTGTTCAGATCATCACTAATTATAATATTTTTTTATGTCTAAGAGTGACTTGCCAATGTAGTCTGGATATGAATATAACTATTGCAGTTCACTACGTAATTTAGATAAATCAAAAAATTCTCCATAAAATTTACTTAAAGAATTAAAACTTGCTTTGGATATTGGGAATAATAACATTGAATATTCTTTATTTTTTAAATCTTAAAGCAATGCACTTAGTCAAATATCTCCCTATGAGTGGCTAAGGGATGGAATCATTGGAAGTGTTATATGATATTTTTGTGTGTAGCATCCACAAGCTAAAGTGCCAGAGGTTGGTGCTCTGTAAAGTGCATGGGCGAATGTGTGTAATCTGGCTGCTTTACACGATTCAGATATTTTTGCTATGGTAGCTGTCCTGTATTTGACAATATAGTACTTCCATTGGGAATATGCATATATGAATTTATATTTGAATATACAATAGCAATCTTATCATTGTTTTTCACATGTATAGAAATTTGTAATAAAATACATAATGCAGTTATAATAAAATATTAATTTTAAGTAATTCAAAGTATGTTAAAATATGAAAATAATTGCACAATATGTATTTATATATTAGAAAATACTGTACAAGGGAAGTAGCGCTTCCACAGCTTCCATGGATGGCATGTCATTGATATAGATAGTTAATCAGTATCTCTGGCCCCCAAGCTTTTATATTTGGTCTGAATTTTAATGGTGTCTTGTCCCTGTACTGTATATCAAACTTCTCCTGAAAACGATCAAGTGCTGGTCATCTATCTAACTCCATTCTGAAGAAAATTTTGAATTGAAATCACATGACCAGAAGTTTGTAAATAGTTAATTGGGGCATCCAGTCCCTAAGCTTTCCATATCTGGTCTTGATTTTTATCTATCTAACTCTGTTCTCAACATTAACAAAGGACAGTCATCAGACAGACAACTGGAAGACAGTGAGAATGTAAAGGTCTGCAATTTGAAAATTTCAGCTCAAATATGTAAACACTTCCATTTAGCAATGCCTAAAAGAAATTGCTTAAACCTGTTTCCATTAACAGCAACACAGTAATAGTTTGTGTATTCATTCAATTGTTGAGTCATAAACATGGGACCATTAAACTCCCATGGGTGTCTGTCTGTTTGTCCTTCCTTAATCTCAAGAATGAAGTTAGATAGATGAAAATCAAGACCAGATATGGAAAGCTTAGGGGCAGGCGGCCCTGATTAACTATATATAAATGAACACTCTGGATCAGAAGTTGGGTGATTTCAATGCAAAAATTTTCTCCATAACAGAGTTAGATAGATGACTGATATGACTCCTGTACATTATACTTTTCCTGATGACAATAGTTATCAGGAAAAGTATAATGTACAGGAACAAGACACTACTAAAATTAAGAGCATGTATTTTAAATTAAATAAATTAAAAATATGAGTAAAAATTGCAGCCTGGAATTGTGACAATGCCACAATAATTTTTTGCTAATTTACAGATTGTTCTATTAGCCTGGATTGCTTTTTAGGGGAGACTTGTATTTATCATATATCATATTTTAAGTTCTCAATAAAATAAAAGAAAATTATATAAAATATTATGAGAAATACATTTTTCTTTATTTTTCATAGGATGAAAATGATAATGTACCAGAATTTAATGCAACTACATGTGACACAAGTGCTAACATTAATGAAACATCAGTTGGAGGTATTTTTATATATAAAAATTTTTCATTATCTTTTAAAACAACATAATTTTCTAAATTATTTAAATAATTCAGTGTAAATATATGTTTTTAAATTTAGCTTTTTAAGTTTCATTTGTTTGCAGATCATATTTAGTAATTTGAAAACTTAGAAAGATATTTGACTTTCTCATCATCATTTTTTTTATAATATGCATTATGTAGAATATATCAAAATTTTTTGCAATTGATAGTTTTTTTATTTTAAAATATATTATTATCGTCTTTATGATAGATCAACTTTATGATTAACTAGTATAGATATTAACTACTGTAATAAATAAATAAAACAGTTATTAAGGAAAGTCCTGAAATGTACAATCCAGACAAGAGTGAAACAAAATGATATATTTTTAGTGCCAAAATTGTTAAAAATGTGGTGAGTGTTTCCAGATTACAGTACATCTTCTTTCAAGAATAAATTGTTGGCTACTGACGACTAAGTATAATTCTAAAATGCTCATGTGTTTTGGCCATTTTTATCTTAATGAGGAAATTTGAGTTAAATCAAAAATTTTTCGATAAATGACAAAAATTTACTTTTTATTGGAATAGCATTTGCATTTTTCATGAACTATGGGAATTATGGATGTTCAAAAACTGGCTTATGTTATCAGTAAATTTTATCATTTATATTGAATATAGAATTAATTATGCTTTAGTATCTGATATTATGATACATCCTAATTGTAGTTGTTTGTTTATCAAGAAACTTTATAGAAGGAAGCAATTACTTGCTAACAATAATTGCTTCCTTCTATAAAGTTTCTTGATAAACAAACAACTACAATTAGGATGTATCATAATATCAGATACTAAAGCATAATTAATTCTATATTCAATATAAATGATAAAATTTACCGATATTATTATATATATATTATTACATAAGTATAACTAAAGCATTGTGGCCACTTTTTAGTTTCTGGGCCAAATTGTGCCTAAGTCTTAGGTACAAAGACCACAAATATTTTGTATATTCCAAATAGCAAAAAGTACACATATTTCTATCATTTATAAATGATATGTTGTTAATATATTTGACATATAATGAAATTATATGTCAAATATATTAGCAGGCCAGATTAATGCCCAGCAATGGTTAGATTTGTACCTTGGCACCTTTCTTTTGGGCATCATTGGTCTTACTATAGAGAATATTAATATTTTGAACATATTGCCATATATATATAATTTTTTCGTTAATTCTTAATAATAATTTTACATGTGAGTTATATTTGTAATAAACTTTTTATAATAATTATCTGTTTTCGGGTGTAAATAGATAGAAATCTGTATTCTTTGTGTTTTATTCTTTCTTTTTGGCACCTTATACAGGAAGGTGTCAAAAAGAAGGAATAAAATAAATCTGAGGGAGAGCAATTCCCTCAGATTTGCTTTATTTGTTCTTTCTTCTTTGCTTTTTCAAATGATAATATAATAAAGTAAGGTATTTTTTAAAAGAAAATTTATTTTAATAGTCGTTACATTGAAGTTACTATAGACCACACACAATTGGTAGTGCTGACAGGATTTATTTCAAGGGGTTAATTAGTGCATGATGGAACAGTTAATTGAATGAAGTGATTGAAATTAGTTACTGCTGTATTATTTATACAATATTAATGATGTGACCAGAGGGTCGGCATCTCTTTAGTGCCTTGTTAGGACTGATACTACCATGTCCTGATTGACACAGAATTTGAGATGGTGTGTTGATTCTGTCTTGCAAGCAGCTGCATGCACGGGCAATTGGATTTGGGATGGAGACTGCATGTTAGTGAGCAGGAAGTGACTCATGCAGAGACTAGGTTAATGAAACAACTGTTTATTTGTAAAGCAGAATTTATACATTTTATCATTAATGAGTTATAATGAATTAAATTTTAAAAATGTCTAGCTACTTTCACGGTTCTTGAGAGAGAGAGAGAGAGAGAGAGAGAGTGGTTTGCGAGTTGATAAATATCTCAAGTAGGATATATCCACAAGGTGGTGATAGATTTGTTGCAATGTTTGTTGAGACTTGCAATTTGTTATCATTCTAGAAGGGTTGTGGAAAGTTCCTCAAATAGCCTCAAAATAAAAAAATTAGATCAATTTACTAAATGCTTTCAGAGTTTATAAACTTATTGTTTCAAATAAAAATTATAATTACAAAACTGTAATTTTGCTTATGATGACAAGATTATAAACTTCAAAAATGTTTAAATACAACAGGAATTTATTTATTTCTGTATATTCAAGTTGTTTTATTGAAATGAGAGAATCAGTTTTTTAAATAAAGTTATTTATAATAAGATTTTTAATTATATAATGATTCTAATAAAGATCACAACCTTAAATTCAGCAAAAAGTTATTGTAAACAAAACATTTTTAACTGTGATCAGTTATCATTAAGTTCAAACTCAGAAAAAGAAAAATGTTTTTCTTCAGTTTTGAATCTGATGATGAACAATTAAAACAATCAAAATTGATAGTGTATAACAGTTTATTGCTAGATTAAAGATTATTATGTTTATTATATAATGAGTATGGTGTAATTAATAATTTAATAAATTATTTTAATATTTTTACTGTGTGAAATTTATTTTCTTAGTAAAATATTATTGAATTTTATTTATTAAAGGTACCCATGTTGCTGAAGTTTATGCTACAGATAAAGACAAGTCACCCATGTTCAGTAATGTATCCTACACTATTATTGATGGAGCAAAAAATAATTTTATCATAGACAGAACAAGAGGAAACATCACTGTTGCTTATAATTCCTATCTAAACATCACAGATGATAAATCAAAACTTTCATATGAACTTAAGATTGAAGCTACTGATGCAATGATGAAAAAACAAGATAATCATTTTTGTAAAGTATATATTAATGTCAAAGATATAAATGATATACCACCAAAATTCAAATATGTTTCGTCTACTGGTTATAAGATATTAGAAAATGTTAATGATAAAAGAATAGGTTTATTTGAAGCTATAGATCCTGATGAAACAAAACAATTAAAATATTTTATTCTTTTTAATAAATCTGAAGCATTGCAACCAGATATGATATCTCCAGTAAATGAAGAAATTTATAATTTTACAAAAATTTTTAATATTACTGATAAAGGAGAAGTATGGGTTGTAAATCCAGCTGATAGAGAAGAAATGAAATCTATTGATTTAACAATAAAAGTTGTCGACATAAATGGTGAAATTAATATTCCACAAGAAGATGAGAGTAAGTCCAAATTTTTTAAACCTTCTCAAATTTCTTTAATTATAACTTTTATTAATATTCATGGTTCATTAAACTCTAAAAAAAACTGTTGAAATGAATTCAGAATATTTCTTTCAATAATTTGGAGTGCTAATTTCATAGTTAAGAAGTGCAATTGAGAACATTGAACAAATTGATTAAACTATAAAATATCTAAAATTAAATTCATTAATGTATTTATTCATTCAATTGCTTATTTGTTTAGTTAATGTCTCAAATTCTCAAACAAAATAAATGAATTTTTATTTCACAGTTATTTAATAAAATAGATAATTGAGTCAAATTTAAATTACTACAATGTTTGTTTTTGTTTATTTGAAACATCTATAGTTTATTGCTATTATTTATAATAAACAGTGAAAACTGTATAAACTGGGCTCTCATATGGTACCAAATATTTTTTCCAATTTGATTGGTTTTCCTTTTGAAGAGGTAATTTTTAACATAAAAATTGCTGAATTGCTAAGAATTTTTCCCATTTAGGCAGGTTTCTGATCTGTTAAGGTTCCATTTTACACAGGTTTTACTGTATATGTAAATACTTATTTATCATAGCATAAAATATATGTAAAATATTAGTAGTTTATAATATATATTCATGTCTAAGATTTGGCAATATTTTCAGATTTGAAACTTTTATTTACTATTTATAGGATTGAATGAGTAATTAATAAATATAAAATATAATTGTTAAAATTTTATGTATTAGAATAATCGTTCCTAAACTTATTATGCCCACAGACCCCTTCTCATAGCAAAAACCTGAACATGAACCCCCAACTACACAACTACATAATAACAAAATTACAAATTTAACTTTGATGTCTTGAACAGTGAATGGTGACGTAAAAATAAAATATAAATAAAACTTATTGATATTTAAAGTAATTTTTATTGAAATTACTAGCTAAAGCTTGCTCATTTTTCAAAAATGGGTATAATGTAGTGAAAACAAAAAAAAATTTATAATGTATTTCTAATTGGGTTATAAATTACATTATAAAAAATATAAAATTAGTAAGCTTTTTATTTTATCTATTGAATTTTTATAGAAAAATAGTATATTTGATCAAAATAAATGAATTATTTATATATTTTTAGTCATTAAATAGTTTTTATAATTATGAAAAATAAACCAATGATTATCACTGTTTTGGAAAGAAAAATTAAATAAATATATAAGATTCTATAAACAAACAAAATAAATTCTAAAATGTCATAAAGCATGCAATTTATGAAGCTCATTTAACAATAACAAATCAACGTATTGATCAACTGAGAGCCATGGAGACTCTAGAGATATATAAAGCAGGATAACGTAGCACGTGCATCAACTCCAGGGATGCAGTGGGGATATCTAGTGCATGGAAGTTTTGTTATGAGGGAACCCCACCCCAGTAAATGAGTTTGGATTACATACATTTTGTATGTTTTTAACATTTTGTAAACGTGAAGTGGCGCGTGCTTAACCGTTGTTTCAGCACGTGGGTAATGTTCCATTTTATTCTTAAATTTGGTTTTTTCTAAAGTTTGAATCGCATTCATTTAGTTTTGATGTTCCATTCTGCATACATTCGAATTCCGTATGACCATAGCCTGATGAAGAACCAGATGGGGTCGAAAACGTTTGCTGGTGTGTGAACACATATCACTGGAGTTACAAAGGTTTTTTGGATGTGATGAATTACATAATGTAGTACATTAAACTAGGCCTATAGTTTAGGTTGGCAGGGAGGGGAGTGCTGCAACACCACAGCACTAGCAGAAATTTGAATTTGCCGACTGGAACAAGTTTGATTAATCGATGCTTCAGTTAATCGGTATTCAGATAATTGATGCTCCACTGTATTAACCTAACACTGGCTGTTCAATCAAAAATTACATCAGTAAAAGCTTAAAAAGGATTCAATACAATTTTGGATAATTCTGTGGTACGTTTGCTGTTTACGATATCCCTCTGATGTTCCGTCAGTTGGCACGAAAGTTGTTTATAGCCCCAATATAATGTAGTCTTGAGTTTGTGCTTGATTGCTGTAAAGGGATCATATAAATGCCTGATTTCTCTAATGTTGAAAAACTATCCTTATCATTACAAAATAATCTATATAATGGTAGTTGAGGCTTGATTGGGAGGATAAAACCATACTTTTTAAAAACTCTTGTAATTTGTAATGTGATAGGATGGACTCACAAATATAATTTTTCATTCTTACTGTATAGTGTTGTGGGACTAAAGAGGGATCTATATTTACAATTTTTAATGAGTTTGATGTTAGTGTATGTGTAACCTGCCTTTTGAATGGCAGTAGATATTATTTGCATTTCTTTACATATAAGATATGAAGAAGAGTATAAATAGGCCCTATGTGAGCAGATATAGCATTATTTATATATTTAGTTGGTTGAAGTGAATCAGCAGGGATAATGTACAGGTATAAATAAAATATGTTGTAACTAATACCTAATGGCATTCTGTGGATAAACAGATTTAGAAAAGCAATATTGTTGTCTTTTTCATCTAAAGTTCTTGTCTTCCACATACCCATCATCTTGATATGATGGATATATGGAAGACAAGAATAGATTGGTCCTTAGTAAACAAACACTCACATTTAAAATAATAAACTGCTTATTAATCTGTTAACTTTCTCATTAATATCATAAAATATCAAACTTAAATATTATATATAATTTATAAGATATTTTGAGTATATAATTTACAAATTTTTTTATTAGTGCGCTTCAGAATAATAATTGAAGACGTAAATGATAACGATCCATACTTTGTGAACAACAACACATTAGAAGGATATGTTAGTAAAGTTTTTGAAAATGTAAAAAATATTATGCTCCTCACTATTCAAGCAAAAGATATTGATGAAAACCATACGATAATTTATACCTTAGAAAAAGATAATGATGCTGCCAATTATTTTGATGTGAATGAACAAACAGGTAAAATAAATAAATATGTAACAAAAATTATATTATTTTACTATACAAAATAAAGTGTTTTGCAGGAGAATTGAGAATCATAAAGTCAGCTGACTATGAAGAAATAAAATGGCTGAACTTTACTGTTTTTGCTACAGACAGTGGTGTTCCTTCAAGGAATGCTTCAGCTCTAGTTACTATAGAAATATTAGATGAAAATGATAATACTCCTCAATTCATAGATGCACCTTATACAGCTGAAATAAAAGAACACGAACCAAATGGTACATTTGTTATTAAAATAAATGCTATAGATGCAGATTCAGGAGAAAAAGGCACAGTTTATTTTAAATTATCAGATCTAGACAATGATGATCATTATTTTCAGATGGAGAAAGAAACAGTAGGGATTTAACTTTATAAATTAATGCTATATGATTGATTGTTTAAACCATGATTTAATTTCAGGGTAAAATTACTGTTCTCAAGGATTTAGACAGAGAAATACAAGAAATATATACCATCAATGTTCAAGCTTATGATAATCCATTTGATCGTGATGATCAAAATATTAACCTAACACAGGTATTTATAAATGTATTTGTTTTTTAAACTCAATATTTTCTTTCTTGTTTCATATCTTAACACCAAGAAGGCAGCTTTTTGCTTCTATTCATCTAGCATCTTAATAATAAATAATAACAATAATTATGGGAAATTAATATAAAATGTCAAAGAACATATTAATTATTGTTATTAGCAGCTATGAATAAAAAATAAAAATTTTTGATTGATTTAAATTAGATTTTATTATAGTGGGTGATCAGTTAACAAACATAATCCATTCCAAGACCACATTCACTATCTGAATTGTTCGTTATCTGATTATCGATTTACCATAGATTTTAGTGGGAATTTGATTAATTCATTCTGGAAATCCCAAAAAATAAATAAAAAATTATATACTTTCTTACTATGATTATTTACATATAATAACAAACTAAAAGCAATCTCTCCATTTTTTCATGGATGGCACATCTTTGTTTCTCAAATGCAATTTTCGTTACTCCTTTATCTGCTTGAATTTTTATATTATATCTTTCTTAGCTAAGATTGTATCTACTGTAGACCTGTTGAAGTCATTTGCCTACAATATTAGACATCTGCCCACTGTCTACCTTGGTTGTTATCTCTTGCTTAGTTTCTATAGTGAACACAGTTCTTGACATTCCTCCTTTTCTAGGCCCCATTTAAAAAACTGATAATATGTAGTTTACGTATTATCGGTTTTTTAAATAAAAAAAGTTCAGAAAACACTTACAAAAATTCAGAGAACAGAAATTAAATAGTGCAAAAAAGGTTAAGTATACAACTGTGAAAGTCTCTTTCCATAAACCATGTATAGATGCCTTAAAATATAGTTTTACAAATCTTAAAAGTAGCATCGCTTCTTCTTGTGTTTGTTCTGTCAGGTGTTTGTTATTGAAACATAAAATTTTTCATGAAAATGTTTGTTGTCTGATTAATTGCAGTCCAAACTGTTCGTTAACCGATCACCCACTGTATTTTTAATAGTTATATGTTAATTTTGAATAACTATTTAGACATAAAGAAATTTTTTTGGTAAATAGTTATAACTACTGAAAACAAGTCCAAATTTTTTTAAATATAACAAAAAAAATTTTCTTTGTTGGAGCTCACTCAAGTAACAGTTTCTCAAATACTTCCTGGCTATTAAGCCCATTGTCAGGAGACACACAAGTGAATCAGCTTGATAACTAAGTTATCCAAATTTGTTTACATAACATTTGGATATTCTACAATCTAAAACTGTTGTTATCCCACTCTGAACTGTCTGCCCCTACTAAGAAAATTACATGAATCCTTCCATTCTCCCACATGTGATATTTCATACTCTCCCTTTAAGAACTGGCTTTTTACATTACCAGATAATGAGAACTATAACAAAATCACTAAACACAAATCACTCATTTTATCCTTCTACAAAAACCTCTTCTTAATTTTTTGTACATCCCCAAAAATCAAAAAAAGGCAATTGCTGTATTAATACTATGTTCCATTTATGAGCTATTTCAAAGCATTTGTAATGTTTCAGAGTCTTTACCATTAATTATCTCCACGCTTAAACTCCTTTTGTATATCCATACTTTCTCTATAACTTCCAAACCCTTTTTTCATTTACTTTTTGTAACATTTCCATTCTACCTTGTTTTCTTTATTGAGGGCTTCTTGATTCATCATGGTAGTGGTTTTTCCTGTCCTGATATCTTTTTTATGCAAATGATTGCCTCTAATAGCAATCATTTTGTAGCTCCCACATATACTTTATTCACTTGTCTATTATCACTTAACAGAACAACATATATATCCACACTTGCTACTCTGTTTCTTTCTACTTTGTAATTTTTGACTAAATTGAACAAGCAGTTATTTATTGTGACATCATCACAATGCTGGGCTGCAATTTTTAATCATATTTTAAATTTATTTAATTTAAAATATGTTCTCTCCACCTCAAATTAGTTGTGTCTNAGTTAACAAAACAAACACACTAACATTAGAACATGCTAATATTCAAATCATTTGTTACTTAGGTAGTGTGTGACAATTGAGTTTTAATTTAAAAGAAATTTTAAATTTTAAACATAAAATTCAAATCATAGAATTTCTATTGTAAAGAAACTAAAATATACGTAGAGTACTAAAATAAAAGTTATAAAAAGTTATGATGAAAAAGTAAAAAAATTCTATTGTAAAGAAACTAAAATATACGTAGAGTACTAAAATAAAAGTTATAAAAAGTTATGATGAAAAAGTAAAAAAATCTTTTTGTATACATAATACAGTACATACAGGATGAGACAAAAATCACTTGATAGTTAGATGTATTTATTAATGCAAAATGAAATAAAATAAATATAAGAAATATAATTACATTTTACATAGAGCTACANTTGTGTCTTGCCCCTGTAATCATACTTCTTCTGTTAGCAATAGAGCCATCTATCTAACTCCTTTTAGGAAAAAATTTTTAATTGAAATAACGTGACTTCTAGTGAAAACTGGAAGTTCATATATAGTCAATTAGGGCTTCCTGCCTCTAAGGTTTCCATATTTATCTCGACTTTTAACTATCTAACTCTATTCTCGAGATTAAGGAAGGACAGACAACAGACGGATGACAGTGGGAATTTGTAGGTCTACAATTTTTTCAAATTTCAACCCATAAGATACATTACATTAAGCTTCCCTGTTTTAATATTGTTTAATACACTTTTTAGTCTACAAACACTATTTCTCTAGGTTAATTCATTTGTCCTCATTATTGAATGTCTGATAAGTCCAAAATAATAATAGTATGTTTGTAGATTAAAAAGTGTATTGAATAAGATACAGTTTTTTCTACAAGTTTTCTTTTTCACTTTCTCTAGCTTTATGTAGAGAGTTTTCTCTAACTTCTAAATAACACATTCAAATTCTTTTTCTTCTTCATGTTTGCCTTATCCTTGTTTTCCTTAATTTCAAGCTTTCTCATGACTTTGTCAAATGTCTTTCTAGTTAACCAATGATTCAGGCTATCTTTTATAGAGTTTCTAATTCCTTAGACAGCATGTCCCATCAGTAGATACATTGATAGCTTTTTCAATCAGTGATTTAAATGTTTCTGCACATTTATACACTAACAGATTGTTTGAATTGTTATTTCTGCGAGTTATATAAAAGCACACAATACAGATTAGATAACATACAACACAATTATTTATTAACTCGCTAGTTCAAATACAGGATTTCATAGGATACCAACAATTCTAGTTGTCCCTTTTTTCGAACCGAACATCCGATTAACAAAAATTATCTTACTTAATACTAGGTTCCTATTTCTACTCAAACTAATTGACTATAGCCGACTTATTCGAAGATTTAGAAGGTGAAAGAAAAGAATAAGGAAAGAGGGTACCCAAATCTTGATGATGCAGGTTGAAGTGTGTGGGTTCGTGGATGAGGCTTCTCGTCGGTCAAGGGGGGGGGCTGATTCACTCAATTCTTGTTTCACACTGAGATATTAATCCAAAAGGGGCGATACGTCTGGTTCCTCTCAGTTCAGTTCCTTTTTCTTTCTCTTGTTCTAAAGTCCTCTTTTTCTTCTCTCACCATACAATCAAACTTACAGATGAGGCTTTCCTCTCGACCTCCTCTTTCTACTTCCTTCCTTCCAGTCCTGTCCTTTCCCTTCTCCCATCACTTCCAGTCCTCCCTTTCTTTTTCTCCTCCACTCACTCCCCCGTTTTCCTTCTTCTTAACACCCCCTCGTTCCTCCTCTCACCTTAGTCCACTCATATCTCCTCTCTAAAGCCTTCCATTCATTCCTTTTCTCTCAGTCCACCTACACACTAAAGTCAATGGGAAGACGATAAGATTATAGAAGAGTAAACAAATAGGACAGACGAAGGTGAAGTGAAGATATATATATATATATACGATTTAAAATATGGCATGTAGCCACAGAATCTTGAAATATGTAAATTTGTTTATTCCTATAAACCAAAGGGTTTATAAACCCTTTGGTTTATAGGAATAAACAAATTTATATGGCCTAGAGCTTTATATGATTTCACAACTCATTTTTTATAGTATTCAGCCACTTCCAATTGAGTATTTTAACAAGACAAAAACATTTTGACTGATGTCTAAACACTCTATGACTTTGTAAAGTATGTCATTATCTTTCATAGGACTCAAGGTAAGATTTGTCCCTATACAAAGGGAGTTTAAAAGTGTTGTCCAAACTAATGAATAGCCAACTACTGATTACTTATAATCCAGTGCAATTGAATTTAGTAATTACATAGCAGAAATAAAATTTAGCCTGGTGCAGCATTTGTATCTACACTCTGTATATCAATGTCTAAGACTACTTTGAATTTGTAGTTGGATTAGAAGGATCAATATATTTACAAGCTATTTAACTAAATTGAATGAAAAGATTTTTCAAGTTTAATTGTTCTATATCAAATTCATTCATGTAAAAATTCTATTACTGCATTTATATTTGATGATTTGTAAAGAACTTTAAATATAAATGCAATATGCTAGACCTTATATACTTAATACTTTTATGAAAATTAATTAATTGATTCTATTTTAGGTAAAAATAACATTAATTGATATTAATGATAATAAGCCTGAAATAAAATCAAATGAAGGATGCTGGAGAATACCAGAAACTCATGGCATTAAAGAAGATATAGGAATTATTACAGCTACAGATAAAGATAAAGAAGGAACACCTAATTCAGAAATTGAATTTTTTATAATTAATTCAGGTAATAATATTGAAATTACAATAATTAAAATTTCTATAAAACACTTTTTAAAAATACAAATTTTGTAATTTTAACAGAATATTTTGATATAACATTAAATGGTACATTGTTTGTAAAATCATCTCTTGAAAATCTTCATGAGGAGTTTAGTATAGAAGTTATGGCAAAGGATAAGGGTGAACCACCTCTAAATAGTACACAAGAATTTTGTGTATTTGTTTATGATATGAATACATATAAACCAGAATTTACAAATCCACAGCCTAATGAATTTCCTAAGACAGTATATACATCAGAGGTAAAAAATTTATGTTACATAGAAATAGACTGAATAGATTATGTTAAAATACTGTAAAGCTATATAGATTGAGTTTTATAACTTGTGTAATTGATCCTAATTTTAAAAATTAAATTCATTTTCTAATATAAAATAGTTGAATACATTTTATCATTCAAATATAATTTTTACTTTAGGAAATATAATCTAAATTGCTATTCAATGCATATGTTCTTCAAACAGGATTTAAAACTCAAAAATATTTATAACATACAATAGCATAACTATATGAGATAAATGGGGCATGTGCATTGGTACTGAAATGTTATTACAGGACATGGCAGGATGATTTTCTGAGACTCAGAGAGTTAATTCCCATTTTTTTATAATTGAATTTATTTTTAAAAATATGTTTATTATATTTCTATTTATATTATTTTTATATTCTATATTTTTTATATCATGCATATTTGCAAGGCAGGACCATTAACTGGTATATTATTTTATTCAAGGGTACATCCAAATTAGGGTTTGTCAGTTTTTAAAATCTAGTTTTGAAAAACCAGTTTTTTGAAGAAATTTGAATAATTTGAAAACCTGTTTTTCCCAAGTAAAAAAACCGGTTTTTAAGCCTACACTTAAAACATAAAAATTAATTAATTATTTGATTAATTAATTTAATTAATTAAAAATATCAACATTTTGACACAAAATCATCTCTGGCATAAAATGGGAATATTGTTAAATACTAAGTTTCATAAAACTAACTACAAAACAAAAAAATCCCTCTATGTGCAAAAAGTGTCCAATTCAACTCAATTCAAGCTCTAAATGAGATGGTTGGGACCTTATCAGAGCTGTAGAGCAAATCCATAGGAGCAAAAAGTCAATGGAACCATACCTCTAAGCCACCTTTTGCGAGTTATAGCCCCCAAAATTGGGTCGCGCAAGATCGATTACATAAATATCTTCAAGAACTTGAAAAAGTGACTTCATCCAGCCCTAAGACACTAAAGAAGGAGTTTTTAATATTAGAGGGTACAAACAGAAGAACGAAAAAATTTAGATTTATTATTTAATGCTTTAAAGATGATTAAACCAAGCTCAGTAGCAAGTGAGAGAGTTTGAGTTTTTTCTATTTCTGGCAACTTTATGTACAAAATAAGGACACAGTTAAGCAATAGATCTATAGACATTCTTTGATTTCTAAAATCATATTTTTAGACATTGCTAAAGTCATATTTTCTTAGGAAAAATAAGAAATAAAAAAATATTTTGTAAGCATTCATTGTTATTTCTTTTTCTTTATGGTTTTCTATGGAGTAAATTTTATAGTTTAATGTGATATTCTAGCAGCTTTTTTTTGTTTTGTTTTGTGTAGACATTGGTCAATTTTATTTTGTTATATTTTCTTTTTCATTTTCTCTAGCTTTATGTAGCAAGTTTTTTCTAACTTCTAAATAACACATTCAAATTCTTTTTCTTCTTCATGTTTGCCTTATCCTTGTTTTTCCTTAATTTCAAGTTTTCTCACGACTTTGTAAAATGCCTTTCTAGTTAACCAATGATTCAGCCTAACTATCATTAAAACAGGTTTTAACTGGTTTTGTAGAAAAATTGAGATTCGAAAACCAGTTTTTTAAAAAGTTGGTTTTTGTATAAATCCTAATCCAAATTGATTTGTGGAGTGTCCTTTTCCTCAATTTGTAATTGCCTGAGTTAATTTGTTTGCCATTTAGTATATTTTTTTTAAAATGAGATAGCATTATTTCTGCTGTAACATTGAAAGATATAATGATGTTATATGAGAATGTTCTAAGTTTTTGCTCATGTTCAATGAACATTAAACCATTCTGAATAAGCACTTGTATACAAGATTATCTTTAAAAATGGCATCTCATACTAGAAACTAAATATTTTAACATATGTTTGTTTAGGTATTAAATGATTTATTTATAAAATTGATAAATTTTCATTTGTTAAATAACTTTAAAATATTTTTTTGTTAGTAAATGCAGTGCATTAGGTTTAGTTAAACAAAAACTTGGCCATTGCAGCATAATTTAGCCTTGAAAAAGTTAAACCTCACATCAACAAACTACTTATAAACTTCCTTACTCACCAGATCTCACTCCTGCAGACTTTTGTTTTTACAAAAATGAAAATTCTACTGAAAGGGTTACAGATTCAAATCATCAGAAGAAATGAAAAGTACTGTAACAGTTTAAATCAAGAGGGTAACACAAAATTGACAACAAGACTATTTTAACATTAATAAGATTCTTAAAACTGGAGTAAAGTGTAATTTAAAGAGTTCTAGCTAGTTCCAGCAACAATTTTTTATTTATCAAACATTTACACTTAAAATAGTAGCCACTCTCAGGATCTAACATGATTTTAATATGTGGTACAAATGGTGGGAGAACTTTGCACCTGCGGAAAATGCTTATTTTGAAAGCAGATAAGGAAATTTAAAACTGCAAATTTTTCCAATTTTTAAATATTGAATATAAATAAATAAATATTTGTCAAAAAATAGTTAATATTTTTGATATTCTAGTGCAGTTTGAGATTATTTAATTTATCAGTTAAAACATTAAAGATTATTAACAATTTATAGAAAATTAAGAATTATACTTCTAAAAAAATTTTGTTATATTATGTAGTTGTCAAAGTTCTACATAAGTTCAATGTTGTATTGTTTTGCACATGTATATTTTTAAATTTTTAGAATGGATCTGTTTGATTCAATTTAAAAATATATTCTGTCAGTTGTATTCAAGAATATCTGATGATGATTGTTGTAGACGAAAGAAAATGTTTGTAGAATTATATAGTTATTATATGCAATATATTTAAGTATGCTTTGCAACCTAGATTAAAAATTAGTAGAATGATCAAATAAAATAAATAAATTAATTATTCTGTCAATTAAAATGTATTAAATAATCTATGTCTTTATAGAAAATATGGAGTAATTTATTTTCAGATTCATATTATTTTATTAATTTATTTAAATATAGGATTCAGATGAAATTATTTCCAAAGGTAGAAGACTTATACAAATACAAGCAACAGATAGAGATAATGATAAGACAACAAATGGGAATGTCAGTTACACAATCATTCAAGATGATCCAATTACAAAAAAATATACAGAAGCTTTTAAAATTGATTCAGATGGTATAATTTCAGTTAATACAAAACTTGAAAAATCCAAAAAAGCTTTTTATGAGGTAGTATAAATATAATTATAAACTACTTCAATTACTACATTTATATATTTTTCAAAATAATTTATGATTTTTTTTCTAATAGATCATTGTAAAAGCTTGTGATAACGGCAAACCTCAATATTGTGCTGATGTAAATGCAATCATTCATGTTTATGTAACAAATGAAATAGATCATAAACCTAAATTTAATGAAAGAGAGGTAAATTATTCTTAATGATTTCAAACATAATTCATTTAAACTTTAATAGAACAATTTATCAATTGAATAAGTATTATTTGAAAAAAGTTTTTATTTATTACTGATAATATTGATTTCATAACTTAATATTTCTATTTTTAATTTAAATTAAAATGAAAAAAGTATAATTGAAATTCCAAGTAAAAAATGATTAAATTAATTATTAATTTGAATTATAATAATAATCTTTATTAGCATAAAGGGAAGTGTCCCTGTTGCAGGGGGCCATACAATGGGATATTATAAATTTTTAGTAATATTTACATAATATACAGGATATCAGTATCAAACAATTTGATAGTTATAATAATATTATTTACATTAACAGTCAGATGTACAATGTTGGTAATATTTAATATACTGGCTCAGATTTACAACATTTTTGTGATTTCAATGAAAAAGTTATACAGACTGTAGAGATCTTTTTTATTCAGTTCAGACTGTTTAAAATATTTCTATAATCTTGAGATGAGTCGTTTTGGAGTATTCGGGAGATGTTAAAAGATTCACGTATCCCTGAAAGACGTTGACATTTTTGGAGTGTAATCATTCATTATTTGAATTATTTGTTTATATATTATATCAAAATTTAGGTTA